CAGAGGTGAGAGGCCACCCTGGTTTCTGCCAGCTCCCACCCGGATGTCAATGTAGGTGAGATATGATCAGGGAGAGATGGCCTGGGCATGCTGGCTTGGGAACAAAGGATGCATGGGGCATCCAAACCAGGCAGGGGCCTCCCACTGCTGACCACGGGGCTTGCAGGGCAGTTGGAGCAGCTTTGTGGCCAAGGGTTGAGGGTTCCTGCAGTTCTATGGGCTTGTATTGTGAGTAGGTGGGACAGGGAAGGAAGGTGAATGGGAGCAGGCAGGGGCTAACTGCAGGGCAGTTAATGAAATATTTTGCTACACACAATTGTAGATGCCAGGATGGCTGGCTCTGGGAAGTGACAGAGTGTGTTATCCTGTCAGAGGCTGGGGGTTGTGAGTCCCCATTACAACATAAGCCTCTCTGGTGTTTTCTCAAGGTAAAAATGGTTGAGGAGCAGAAGGCACCTTTGGCTTTTCCTGCTTGGTTTGCTTTGCATCACCAGCACATGCTCCATGGGACTTGGCAGCTCATCAGCTTTGAGCAGGGGCTGGACTAGATATCCCCGTGGGTCCTGTCCTACTTGACCACTGAGCCACCCCCCTTAAGCCATGGCACACAGAGCAGGGGAATCTATCACCAACTCTTGGCAGCCCTGCAGAGCCCTGGACCACCCCAAGTCACGTCTTGTGCCATCAGTTGGGATGTGGGAGTAAGGGAGCAAAAAGGCACACAGCAACCTGGTTGTGATGCTCCTACCTCCTACCACTTCACATCTGGAGGCCATTTCCCACAAAACAAGGGCCATGGAGTAGACATCCATCTGCTTGAAAGACTCCAGGTCTTCCAGGTTCACTCTGGACTCCAGCACCTCTGGGGCCATGTACCTGGCGGTGCCCACCTGGCCGCAGAGAGGAGAGAGGCATTAGCAGGGGTGGGCGAGGACTTTGGCCACAGGACACGGGGGTGGCTGGCAAAGGCTCCTCCAGGGAGGGCTGGTGGGTCACACTTGCCTGCCCGCTGTTGGCAAAGTCATCCACGGTGAGGGAGGGGTCGAGGCGTATGGCGATGCCAAAGTCGCAGAGCACGCACTCCTGCTCGCTCTTCACCAGCACGTTGGTGCTCTTGATGTCGCGGTGGGCGATGGGGATTTTCGGGCGGCCGCAGGCCGTGTAGTCGCTGTGAAGGTGGGCCACCCCGCTCACCAGCGACCCGGCCATCTTCTGCAGGTCCATCCAGCTCAGCACGTGGTGGGACAGGTAGTCCTTGAGGTTGCCCCGGCTGTGGTAGGCGGTGATGAGCCAGTACTCCCGGCGGGGCCCCGTGCCCCGGTCCTCGGCAGTGAGGAACTGCAGGACGCTGTCGTGCCTGAGGCTGGTGTCGGTGAAGATCTGGCTCTCGTTCTTCCAGGAGGAGTATTCCTCGCAGGGGAAGATCTTCACGGCCACAGTCTCGTACTGCCCCGAGCGGCTGTGGCTCAGCTTGGCCCTCCACACCTCGGCGAACTGCCCCTTGCCCACCATCTCGTCCAGCTCGATGGGCAGCAGCTCAGCGGGGCGGCTGCTGCTGGCTGGGCTCTCATCCATCAGCACGGACAGCTTCTCCTCCCGCTCGCCTGCCTTCCCCTGCTCCGGCAGCACCGGCGGCTGTCCCTGTTTGCCACCCCACGCCTTGGCTCGCTTGCGTCGCCTCTGCGTGCGGCAGAGGTAAAATATCACCGTGACCATCACCGCCACCAGCAGCGGGGGCAGCAGGCTGATGGCAGCCACTGGGATCACCTCTTTGCTCTGCAGCATGGAGTAGCCTGAGGGGAGGAAAGCAAAGGCGAGGTGCTGCTGCTGCGGGTCTGCCACAGCTCGTTTTCATCGCGCGGAGGAGGAAAATATGCAAAGCTGTTAATGGAGCGCAGCCCTTCCCGGGGCCGCACAAGGGCTCATCCCCACACAGAGCCCAGACGTAAGCACTTAGCAAGGGGGGTGACTGGTTTTGGTCTCAAATTTAGCTCCATTTATCAATGGAATACACAGGCCAGCATCACTTGGATGGGACAGTGTGGCACAAGAGACTGCAAAGGGCATTTTGGGGGGGTCCCAAGCACTGCTTGCGCTTGTGGCAAAGGGAGCTTGGCTGGAAATAACAATGATAAATCTGAGACAAGGCTCAAACAAAGCAAATCTCTGAGAGGGCTTGGGGCTGGAGCTTTGCTGGACCCCTGTGGTACACAGAGAGTCAGGAGTGATGCTGGAGGTAGCAGTGTGCAGGACCACCCAGCTCAGGGGAGTGCTGGGATGCTTTGCAGGATAATTAGCACACAGGAGCATCATTTCAGCAATTTTGTCTGCCAGTGCTGGCATCTCCCTCCTCCTTACAGGAGCAACCCCAACAATCACCAGGGCATGGCTGCATTTGTTTCATTTCTTTTAAAACCCCTGTTGGCCTTCAGATTGAGAGGGGGAGGACACACACACAAAGCCATAACCCTCACACAACATATAATTGTCTGATTCTTTGATGTTCATGATTCCTGGAATAAACATGCTGACTTCAGTAGAGATATTCAAGTAAAATCTTACTCAGAGGTTTTTCTGCCAAGTATAATAACCCAGGGGAAGAGGGATAAGAATCATTCCATAAGCAAAACTCTCGCTGCTTGACCTCAGTGTGTGCAGATCATAATTCAGGTTCTGGAAAAACAGAGCATTTAGCTATTTTCCTTGGCAAATTTCAAAAAAATGTGCTGCAGCTAATTTCTGCAAGGCTGTGAAAGCGTTTCTAAAATAGGCATCAGGTTTAAACCACAAGATCAACCCAAACTGATATAAATCAATAACTAACTCAGGAATATGTTTATTTTGGAAAGTATTGGGCTTGGATATCACCTACTGCTTTAATGGATTTACCCGATGCTTTGGATCCCATCTTTGAAACTCTGAAGAAAGAGAAGATCTTTTTAAGGGAGTTGCGTGCACAAGTCCCGAAAAGGGGAAGTTAACACAACTTCAGGAAATTCCTGCATGAGGATGCCCCTTCCTGATGGAAGTCTTTTGATACACAGGGGCTGCAGCAGGGCTTAGACCCTTCTATGGAGAGCAAATGTAGTTGATCTGGCAGCAACCACAGGTCTGTAAACCCACACCTTGCTGAGCATTGCTGCATGGGTCTGTCCATCCCTGCTGAGGGGATATGGAGCACAGGTGGAAAGCACTTGCCATGCTCCACCCTACCCAGCATCTTCCTGAGGTCTCACCTGGACTTCTGTGTGCACAGCTTTAGGAAATGATGACTCTGTGTGCTCATTAGCATGGTGTCTGGGCTCTGATGGAGTCCCCTGCATCCCTAGTGCAAGGGCAATGCCACCCAGCAGCCCAGACCTGAAAGCAAAGCTTAAGGAATCAAGAAACAGGAAAAAAAATCTGTCTGCTTCAGCAGACGAGAAGTGCTTGTTTCTCTGCTCAGGAGTTGTCTAGACCATTGAACGTGACAATAATTTAATATTTTGAATGCAAATGATCCCTTAAAGCAGAAGGAAAGGATGTAAAGAATGGGGTCTGTGAGCCTGGGGTTTGCCTAGGCTGGCCCCTGGCCCATACCTAAGAGGAGAGGTATGGGCTGCACTGGTCTTGCTCCCACTTCCAGCGCTTTCCGCGCCGGCTGACAGGAGGAGGCTGGTTATGGAGCCTTTGCTGGGGGTGGCATTTCCAATGAGCCACTTGTCATTTTTGTGTGAAATTGCATATCCCGGCACCAGCTTTGGGATTTGACTGTCTCTCCCTAGAAGTGTGTGTACCTGTTATGTTTGGCTGGGGAAGCAGCAAAGAACCGCCAAATTTAGCATCACTTGCCTCCATTTAAGTGGCTTGTTTGTTCAGAGAATTTGCATTTCATGTGATGTTTTTCTTTTTTCCTTATATTGCAGGAGAAGCTATACCACTGGCTCACAGGTTCTGCTTAGGCTCATTTTCAGTATCTCCTTGTGTGATTATGGAAAATTTGAGGCATTTCATTTTGCTTTTGTTACAGGTTGGATTGTTGATGGACACTTGGATAAACCTGGTCCACTTGGGACTGGGGAGGTTTAGACAAGCCCCCAAAGGTTCTGGTTGGAAATATTTCCAAAGCATACGACCCTCCTGAGGTATAGAAATGAGTTGCCTCTTAGTTTTCCCTCCTGTGGATTTACAGCTCCCGTTGGATCTCCAGCCATGTGCAGCAGCAGCCAAGCCACGCTCGTGTGTGTGCTCAGCACTGGGGTGGCTCCAGCTGTCCCTTCCCGGGAGAAACACTGCTGCAGGAATTCCCAGGGGAGGCATTCCTGTGTGCCCAGCCCTGCACCCAGCATCTCCAGCTCTTTGGTTACAGCCATGAGGGATGCCAGCAGTTCCTGTGGGTGTGTTCTGGGGCAGGATTTGCTGCAACGTGATTTATTTAAAGCTTTCAGAGCTTTTGACTCCCATTACGTTACACCAGCCCCTGGGTTCCCCATCTGATTCAACCTGTGCTGAAGGCACAGCCCACTGAGAGATACGGTGGGTTTTCCATCACCTGATGTTTCCAGACAAAGGCTGAAGGTATTTCTGTGAGGAATGCCTTGGCCACAGACAAAATGCTGGGCTCAGTAATGGGGTAGAGATTTCAGCTGGCTTTTATATAGGGAGGTGAAAGAAGATGGCAAAAGAGCTTCCTCTGCCACTGCACCTCCTACTCCGCAGGAAATACAGGGGATTTGTCATTGGTGCTGCTCCCCCATGAACAGCATTAACAAAAGCACTCACCATTGGTGTGGTTTTCAAAGATGAGTTTGTCGTTGCACTCCTGCTCATCCACACAGCCACAGACGTAGATGACGCCGTCCTCGCTGGGCTGGTGGCTCATGATGCAGCGCGAGGTGTTGTAGTTGGGGACCATGAGGTTTTCAATGGGGCGCTGGGGGTTGTGGCACAGCGTGCTGATCCTGATGCTCTCGTTGTCCTGTCTCCTGCAAGTGACAAGTGAACCCATACAGAGTTAGCCTGGCAGCTTGGCCCTTGTGTCACCTTAAACCCGGTCCTAAGATAATTTCTTTCAAGCTGTGTAGGGAATGACTATCTGCAGTGGCTGTGGTGTCATTCCACTTGCACGTACTTATAGGACCAGCGATGGGCACGACTGGCCCTGCACAGAGTACAGCACTGCAGCTACTCCTGGGTGCATTAAAAGAAATGACAACCATTCATTACTTTTCCAGGAGCAGCCTCTGCCTCCTGACCTGGAGGTGCAAACCTGAGAGTGAAGGAATGGAGAGATGTCACCATGTCTTTCAGGTCAGCTGGGAAGTCAGACATAAAAGCCAAGGAAAGAACCTAAATTCATCACCCTCTCCCTGGTGAAGTGCCCCAGTTTCAGCACTCCCTACTTTTTTTTTCTTTTTTTTTGTGGCTATCAGGTAATTTGACAGAGGAGCTCCCTGTCAAATGAGGATGAGGAGTCCTATGAGGGTGAGATCCCTTCTGCTAAGGCTGGGCCCTGGAGCACGTGAATGTGAGGCCAAAGCTGCTGCTGTGACTGAGATACCCACTCAGGACAAGTTTGGATGATCCACAAATGCCTCTGCAAGTGAGCAGCAGGCAGCAAGGCTGGCCTGGAGGTGATCTTATTCTCTGGCTGAATCTTAGAATGGGACGGGAGGTGCTGGGAGGGGTTGGCAGGGTATTTGTGACTGTGTAGCTGCCTTATCCCATCCAATCCACATTGCAGGATGCAGCTCCATCCTGTGCAGTGGGATTGCTTCCCTGGCATGGGGATTCCTGCTGCAGGGGCCTTGCTTTTTCCTGTAAATGGGAAAAACCCAGTGACACACTGGATTGCCTAGCCAGGATTTAAAGTGGCTTCTCCATGTGTGCGTAGGGGAATTTGGGGCAGGGGGTGGATTTTGTTATTTGTTTGTTTGGGTTTCTTGTTGTGTTTTGCTTTTTAAAAGTCCATAATGCAACAATTAGGTTGAGGCAAACTCCTACTGAAAGCTGGCATACAGCATTCACGCTAATTAGCAGGTTGAGATAAAGCCTAGCGATAAGTGCTTGGCTGACTTTCACTTTGGCAGCCAAATTAAAAGGGAAAGTGGAGGAAAATCACTCTGGGCAGACCCAAAATGGATGCTTTTTTAGTCTTGCTCACGGGGCCCAAAAAGCTGGGGGAGGCACTCTTCCGGGCCAAACCATGCAGGGTGTGCTTGGCCTGAAATGCAAGATCGTGTTTCCTGTCCAGGCACCTCTCACAGGAGCAGAAAAGGACTTTTTCCATGGGATAGGAAAGAAGTGGGTTAAACCCAGTGGGTTAACCCCAGTGTGGTGCCAGCTCAGTTGTCCATGTGCTGGATGGGGACTGATCCTGGCTGCACCCCTGCATGTGAACTGAGGTTTCACTCACCCCTGATGCAAGAGGACATCATAGGTTTGGAGGTCAGGGTTGCTGCTTTGCCCTTGGGTTCAGCTTGTAAAGCTACATTCAGAGGTTTTGGGAGTTTATAGGCCCTGCAGCAAACTTGCCCCACTTTGTGTCAGACACTCAAAAAGCTGAATTTATTTAGAAAATAAACTGGTACTAATTACAGGGCAGACCAAATGATTTTTTTTTTTTGCTTTTTTTTTTTACTGTGCATTGTAATTTTAATTGTAATGGAAAGAGGAAGAGAAAGTCCTGAATTACTGCAGTAGGCAATAACACAGGCACAGGGGTACGCACATGGGGCACACACATCCCTGTCCCCCCTCGGAGAGGGGGTTTCCTCTCACCATATCGCCACGCAGATCTCGTAGGGGTCCTCGCAGTAGGAGTTGAGGTTGCAGTTGCTGTAGCACACGCTCTCCTCGCAGGCCGGGGCTGTGGAGTCGCACCACTTGCACAGGTTGGTCTTGAGGCTGCGGCGGGCGCCGGCCCCGCAGGCTGCGGAGCACAGGGGCTGCAGGTGAGCGAGGGGAAAAACAACCACCACCCAGAAACAATCCCAGAGAGTCACACAGCCGGGAGCCTCCGCTGACCCCACTGCTCCGTGCGTTTTTTTGTTTTTTTTTTTTTTAAGCCTTTGTCTGGCTTTCCGCTGCCCAGTCAGTAGTGCTTTGTGTTATCCCAAAGCCTCGAGGAGGTGGGAGAATGCTGCGGGACAAAAGCCTGGGAAACCGCGGAGAATCACGTTTTCCCTCTGCTTTTCCCGTACCGTTTATCATCAAGGGGAAATTTACTTCTTCCTCTACAACCCAGGCTCAAACTGGCACTTCCCCTCATCCCGAGTACCTTCGGTGCTGGAAAAGGGACATCTCTGTGTGCCTGAAGAGTTCATTTATTCCCCTCTCAGCAGGAGGAGAGGTGCAGGGGAGGGATGTACGGCCAGGCTGGGACAGCTCCCACCTCTCCCGCTGCCTCCTCGTCTTCCCCCTTCCTATTCAACGAGGCCAAGCTGGGAAAGGTGTTTGCTGCCCACTCCCCAGGTGTCTGTGCTGAGCCTTCCCAAGCTCTGGGCAACCGGGGCTGCTCCTTCCAGGGCTCCACTGCCCACCGTGCCCATCCCAGCACGAAGTATTCTCCCACCCCGTGAGCCCCAGGTCTGCCCCAGCAGCAGGAATAACTGTGGGGAGCTGCTCTGCCTGTATCTCACAGGCATAACATTATCTCTATTTTTATAGAAAGAGTGCATGAACTATGCTTGGTTAAGGGATAAATCCCAGCTAAATTTAAACTTCCTGTCTTAAGGCTGCTAAATGTGTTTAAAAAATGCCACTGAGTGGCTTATGTAGAAATATTTATTTATACTTTTTTTCCCCCCTAAACTTAAATATATGCACTCCAAAGTGTTTGGGTATGAACCTGAACTACAACAGCTAATTTTTTTACGCTTTGGGCCATCCATGATTCTCTATCTGCCATGTCCCTGAACCACCCAGCAGTGCTGGGTACTCTCAGCCCCAGTCATAGCTCACTGTGCTGCCACAGCCCTCACAGAGTTTTCCACCACCAGCTGTAAGTCTGAAGAAAAAAAAAATAAAAAATTGCAAGATTCCTGACTGTGGCTTGGGGAGCCTCAGCCCCTGCAAGCAGGGCCCTGCTGACCCAGCAGAGCCATGGGCACCCCCAGGTCTGTCAGGGACATGCAGGAACTCCTGTGTTCTTGGTGGTCACCTCTGTGACCCGCCTGTGTTCACAGCTGAGCCCATGGACCCTGTCCCAACAGCAAAAAGGGGTTTTTAACTTCCCTGCTCCCCAAATCCGGGGCATGCAGCCTGCTCTGACAGCATCCCACATGCCTGCTCTGCTTCCCTCACCAGCCCAGACCCCCTCCCTGCAACAGTCATAAAGAACTGCTGGAAGGCTCCCACACAGAAATAAACCATTTACAAGCTCCCATGGCCTTGTATTTAGGGCCAAGGTTAATGGTGGGGGAAGACCTGGGTGCAGAGGAAAAGACTGTTGGATCTGAAGCTGGAAGGAGGAAATTTTGGCTTAAATGACCCATGCCAGGCTTAAAATGCAGCTCAGCAGGGATTGTGTTGTGCCAGGTTTTGGGGGAGCAGGGTAGGTGAAGATGTTGCCCACAGCCTCTTGCTCAGCATCCCCCCATCCATGAGGCCGCTCTGGCCCTGCTGGGACACCCTGAGATTTTGTGGGTGACCTCAAGAGATCCAGTTACCCACATCCATCCAAGGGTGAGCCACCACAACCATGGCTTCAGCTGGGATTTGCAGCACCTGCAGCCAGCATGAGCTACCCTCACCTCTCTGCCTTGCTCTGCCAGAGCAGGGCTTGTAGAATCTGAGGCAAAACTCCACTGGAGGATGAGAATTTTGGGTGTGGAACAGAAATCAACCCAGCACTTGTGTGCAGCAACCTACAGACCAATAGCCACCGCACCCTACAGACTCCATTTGGGTAATTTCATGGGAACAGAGATTTGAAGGCAAATTGGTTTGTCACCCCAAACCCAAGCCCTACCACGCGCAGGCCTGTGCTCTGGTGGTGTCACTGCCACAGTTCCTCTTCCACCCCTCCAGCTCAACCCACCCACAGCTCTTGCTGTGCTCACAGCAGGCTGCTGTGGGACTGGCCCAGCACCACCACCCCAGGGACACCTGCAGGCTCTGCAGAGGAGTCACAAAATTACAAATCCAGGTCGTGGATGTTGCTGGTGCAGGATGAGGCTGGTTATTTATATATTTATAGCCACCAGGTATGTTATTTACTTATTTATATCTAGGGTTTGCTTGAGATCTGAGGGCAGAACGTCAGACTCGCCCGCAGTGCACTGGTGTGTGTGCTGGGGATCTTGGCTTGGCTGTGCTGTGCAGAGGGGAAGCCAGGACAGATGAAGGAGTTAAATATGGAAACTAGAGCCAGAAATACAGCAGTAACTGGACAAAATTCTTTGGAGACAAATTGTTCTAAACTAACTCAGGCTGTGATTCTGTTATCTGCTCTGCAAGAAAGAGCAGGGATATCTCTTTTTTCTCCCCCCCCCCCTCCTTCTTGTGCTAGGAAGCTAAAAAGAAGAGCCCAAAGCCCACTGCAAGGTTCTTCAGGACTGTGTGTCCTTGAACCATTAACTCGTAGGTACAATTTAACTGCCACATCACTCATCTTGGCCATGATTAGACCCAGATGAACACTTTCAATATTAATAGTCAGATGATTTAATAAAGCTGCACAAGCAGTAAAAGTAACAATACACTTCCATAAACGGGTTCCAGATGTTGCCAAGGCAAATGCTAAACATCAAAATACAAACTTCAAAAAAAAAAAAAAGTTAGGAAAAAAAAGAGCTGGATAAGCAAAACTTGGAACAAACTATAAACTAATTAAATGTGGGTTGAGTTTTCCAAAAATAAATTGAAGCCATAAGGATGTGATGTGAGCCAATAAATAGTACAGTTAGTCAAAGTTATTGTGGAAGGACAGTTGGAAAGATGGTTTGAAGTCAGTGATAGGTGGGCTCACAGCAAGCTTGGCTTCCCATCAATAGGAAGGCTTGTTCTCCTGAGCACGAGAGCAGGATCAAATCTTCTGGTATCTATAACTGGGACCCCAGAGAGGTTACTGAGAGAATACGAGATGATTTTCAAGTCAGGGAATAATGGAAAAATGATGCCAGAAGTGCCTGTGTCTCTCCTGCAATAGCAGCAGGGGTGACACCACCACCCAAGGACATCAGGATATTTTTTTCTGCATGTTGGGGCATGCAGGAAAAAATGTCTTCCAGCCTTCCAGGCTCTCATTGCCCACAGGGCATCCACAACCTCTGCTTGGCCACCTGCAAAGCCCGTGGAAACACCACTGCTGTAGTCAATAACCCACCCAGGAGTCATTGAAAACAGCTCTCCGAGAGAATTCCACCCCAGTCCCATCGCTGCTGTCACAGAATCAGCCACCCCAGCAGATGAGCTTGCTGCCAGCAGGGACTGCACCTGTGAGAAGAGGGAGGGGGATTTTGTGAGGCCATCTCTGCCACTGCAGCCCCAGAGAGCAGGTGGGTCACCCAGCTCCTCACTCTGGCTCCAGTTTTCCCCACACTGTGGTCCCCAAGGAGGAGGAACCACTAAGGAGCAAGCTGGGGGTGCTTGGGGGTGCAGGCACAGCATGTTTGTTAAGGCAAGGAGAAAGCTCCTCATAGCCCAAGCAAGGGCAGGAAATGCATTTTCACTGAGGGGCAGAATGAACACTTTCAGTTCCCAAGTATTCTCCCTGGCATGGTGCTGTGGGACAGCTAAACACCAAGATGGGCTTAAGGGAATGTGTTTGGAGTGAGATGTTAGGGCACTTATCCCTGTTCCCAGCTCTTGCCTTCCCAAGGGGGAAAGAGACCAAGGCTTTTGTTACACAGGGCATCCATTATAGGACCTTCAGATCGTGTTCTGTCTTGCAGTGATAATTGCCCTAACATTGCTTCTATTTCTCAAGGACAAAGAAAATGTATTAATTTTTAGGTTGTAAATGTTCTACAGTGAAGCCTATCCCCTCTTTTCTGCATGTCTCCAAGCACCCCAGGATGGGGCTGACACTATTTCAGCAGTCACAGAGGGCTGCCCAGCTTGCTGTTACTGTAGTGGCTCTGGGGGCCCCTGCATCATCTTTTCCATGCAAGCCAGTCAACCTGTAATCCCCAGGCTTCACACTGGGACAGACTAAGGCCAGGGAGATTAGCTGAGATGCTCTTTGCTTTCTCTAATGAGCAGTGCACTCACACACAGGACTGCGGAGCAGCTCCAACTCAACCTGCAGCCCTGTTCTTCCTGAAAGCCCCCTGATAGGTGCCCTGATGGAAACACAGCCTGCCCTGGGACCTGCTTTCCCACCTGGGTGAGCCTGGGCTCCACAGTGAGTCCTGCGCCTGCTGCCAAGGTTAGGATTAGGCTGTGCTTTGGGCTTTTATCCATGCTCAATGACACAAGCATGCAATAACAGAGCCTCTCATAAAATTATTATGAGAACAAACAAATTCCTTCCCTTTTATATGCAGTACTTGTTTTTAAGATTAATCCAGCAGCAGAGCTGATGGGCTCTGCTCTCTCGCTGACCCATGTGAGAGCACCAGGTGCTCCCCATCACCAGGTTACTCCTGAGCTGCCTCCTCCACCATGCAACAACCAGTGCCACAGATGGGCATCGGGGTAATTCCTGTGCCCTGATTTCCAGGAGATTCTGTGCCAGGCCAGAAGTTCCCATGGAAGCTGTTCAGTATGACCCGTGTAACAATGATCCCAGATTTCTTGCAGATTTCTTGCAGTCTTGCCTGATCTTGTTGCAGCATCCTGCTGTGCTGCAGAATCTCCCCAGAACCAGACCTCAAAGTGTTGTACTTCTATTTTGGATGCAGCTTGGTTTCCTCCAGCAGATTCCTGTTCTCCAGTGGTGGGGTCTGCTGCTGCTGCTGCTTTCAGCTGCTGAACCAAAGAGGTTTTTGGTGTCAGGCTGCTCTTCTCCATCCCTGTGTTTTACACTGTATCTTTATCTTTGTAGGAGAGGTAGAACAGACCAAATGGAGCTGGAAAATCTTAATATCCCAGTTTTTGCCTCTGCAAGGCACAAGGCACTGGCTCTCCCAGGAAATCCATCAGTGCTGCATTCAGATCAGGGGACCAACCCGGGCTCCACCCTCAGGTATGTGGTCCCACATGGTCCTGCATAATAAATACTGCATTTGGCAGAGTAAGTATGGAGCAAGGAATGAGCCAGAAATGTTTCCTGGTGCATAAAAAGGGACTGATTTTGATCGTGTTAGACACCAGTTCTTCCAGTGCCAGGAGGCACTGCAGTATGCATTTCTGGTTTGCTTGGACCTTCTTCAAACGGGCTGGTAACTGACTTATTCTACCACTTACTTTCCCTTTGTGAAAATATCCCTTTAAATTCAGTGTTTAGCAAATACTGCTTAGTCCCATAACAAAGTAAATTGGGTATGGATCATAACAGCAGGCTTCTCCAGTCTCTTTCAGATGCTTAAATTACATCATGATCTAACTTCACCCAGGGGAGGGACCAGCTCTGCAGACTGCTGTCCGTCCTTCTGCTTTGGTAATCTCCGGTATTTCTCAGGTGCCTTTCACAAGTTTTCTGTGCATCAGCACAATGTCTCTGCCTTTGGGCCGTGGGGGTGTTTTGTACTGAGGAAGCCCAGGGTTGTGCCCAACAAAGCCAGCAGCACCCAGGCAAGCTGGAGTGCCAGGGGCCAGTGAGGAGATGCTGGCACTCGGCAGGGAGAATTCGGCCAGAGCAGTTTCTCTGTGATTTTGGTCAGTTCATGTCTGGGTGGGGACAGGGGAGAGTGCCTGGCCCTGCACTCCCCCACCTGCCCTCGGAGCCACTTGTCTCCTCCACCCACTCTGACCGGATCTCGAGCTTCTTTCACAGATTCCACTTTCTGTCCCCAAAGCCTCTCCTGCTGGGACAAGCCCTGCTCCAGCCTCTGTGTCCCTGGGGTGGGGATGCTGGTGCCCAGCGCTGGGGCTGGCAGGGGCAGCCTGTGCCTGGGCCAGCGGGGGGCTGCAGGGGCAATTATTTGCCATATTGTGCTCTCGCTTGTGTTTAAAAACAACAACAGCTCAACTGACTCATAGGTCCTACGGCCTCTGAGTCATTTTTTATTTCTGGATTTCACTGCTCTGCCCTTTGCAATGAAGGGAGTTGCATGCTCACACACACACACACACACACACACACACACACATATCAAGTTCACATTTGTTTTTCCCCTATAAAAACAAAACGATTTCCATACCATTAATGAAACAGAAATGGTTTGACTTCACGTACCCTGGCTTTTATTTTCCATTGTATAAACTCTGCAGATGAAATAATGATGGTTGTAAAGTAAACCTCTCTTTTTTTTTTTTTTCCTTTCCCTTTCCAGGCAGCCTCTTTTCGAAATAGCAATAGGGAGTCACTTACAGACTTGGCTTGTGCTGCGCCTGTAGTAATTAACCCCTTCATCCCCAGCTTTCCCTCTGCTGGAAGTTAGCCACGGCGTGGGTGAAGGCATCAGCAGGTCTCCTCTGGGACTAGAAGCAAAGCGGGGGAGCAGAGCAGGCGGGGAAATGTGGGAAAGGAGGTCAAGAGCTGCTCCAGGCAGAGCAGTGGTGTGTGCCTGGAGCAATGCACTCGTGGGCAGGACAGCTTTCCTGGGAGAGCCAGAGTGCTGGCACTGCAGGGCCAGAGGTACCTTCAGTCTTCCTACAGCCCCACTTTTTTTTTTTTTTTTAATTAAATTTAAATCAGCACTACTGTTTTGTGTTTAGCCTGGCAGCCCCGTCCTGGGTCACCTCCCTTCCTTCCCACTCCCCAGGGACCACCAGTGAAACGTTCTCTCTCCTCCACAGGCCACTGCAGAAACAATCTGTGGTAAATAATTAATCCCCTAATCTTGCTCTTTCTGTTTACAGGGCCGCTGTGATTTTACGCAGCACTCGGAGGAGCATCACTGGGGTGAGGTAACACCTCACACAGCAGCAGAGCCCGCTGGAGCTGGGCTGAGCTGCCCTCCCCACGAGGCTCTGAGCTCTCCTGACAGACCCCCACCATCACACACGATCTGCCTGTCTTCAAGGCCTCCACACGTGCCACAAGCGTTTTTCCTAATCACATTTATCATGCAGCAGCACAACCCTGCATCCCCCAGCGCTGGATCAGATGCTTCACTGATGCCTGGCCCTGGCGAGCTGGTGACACTGAGTTACTGTTCCTCTTCCCAGACTGGGTGATGTGTTTTATATTATTTCTCTTGGATTTATTGAGCATTATGTAACTGGCTAACCAATCCCGCATGCAATGCAATCGTGGCTGATTTCATGTCAGTGGAAAGTAAACAAAAAAATTGCTCTGAAGTGGCTAAACTGAAATTCATTTCCACATGCAGAGCAATTCCTGGAGGATCTTTCCCATCTCCTCGTGGTTAATTTGCATCCAAGCTCTCATGCAACCCATTAGAAAAGAGTTATGGAAAAATTGCACATAGAATATGACAGTGTGTTATGAGGAAAAATTATTAAGATGAAGTTTATTTTACTTAAATATTTTTAAGTAAGTTTGCTGATTTCTCCTGTGCCTTGAGATGTGTGACACTTGCCTGTTTTTGTCTTTCAGCTGAGGAACTCAAAATGTGAAAGTTACTGCCCAAAGAAAGTTTGGCACTAAAGTTTGAAAAACCAGGCAAGCCAACCCTGAGGTCCTGAAGCCCAGCAGGACCCAGCCCAACAGGACAAGGAAGATGTTCTGCCCTTGCTGAGCTTTGGAAGCACTGCAAATATCAGGTGAGGCAAAAACTACACCCCCATTAGACTCTGAACTCAAGCTCTTTCAGGAGCACTTGCTTTCTGGTGTCATGGACAGCATCTTAATGCCATTAACACCAATTTACATCCAGAGATGTTGAGCTGAGGATGGGGGAATGTAGAAGAGATAAAACAGTAGTGGCTTTGCACTATTTAATTTGTTTTTCTCAGTGTCTTTGAAATGTTCAGCAATGTCTGAAAATGATGTGTGTATTTCTGGATCCACTTCACTGAAATATCAGTAAAGTTGGTGGTTGGGGCTTACCTGGCTGCATGTTATTTATTTATTTTTCAGTCAGTCCCTGAGGCAGCCAAGCACCTGCTTCACCTTGGCAAGAAGCTAAGTCCAATTAAGCTGAAATGCTGTATTAGACCTGGCTGGGCTCATGGACCATGTAACACCATTTGCCAATTGCTGGGCTGGAATTTGAGCATAAAGGTGACTCCAGCTGTGATCCAGGGACAGATGAGGGTGGTGAAGGGGCAGGATGGGACAGGACAGTGCTGGTGGGCAAGCTCACAGCTCCATGTGGGTGTCACCACTGCACCTATCCTTGTGCTGACTTGCTGGATGAGGAATGCTGTCCTGAAACAAGGAGAAAACTCAAAACTTAGGGCTTGTCCCCTCTGCTGGAGGCTAGTTTATTCCTTTGTGAGATGAGCTGGGATGCTCTGCATCCTTCCTTGAAAAGACAGCTCGAAGGAGGGTTGAGGATTAGAACAGGTTAGCACAGGAATCCCTCACATTGCCCAGGACAGCAGCTTGAGAGTGGAGTTTTTTTACTCCCTACCTGGTGGATATTGTGGGTCATTGTGTAATTATGGTCAGTACCTCCAGAGCCACGACCAGGGCAGCAAAACTTCCCTGGCAGACAAAAGCAGGTGTAGGTTTGCCTGGTAATACCTGTACTCATCCCTTTATGCTTTTGTCAGCCACTGGGCTATTAATGTCAGATAAGGGCAGCTATGACACAAACCAAGTTTTGCAGCCATCCTCTGTCTGAAGATGCAACCTTATTCAACAAGTCCCTTTCATTGCACCTATTTCCTTCTTGTTCCTATATTCTGCTGTCCTTTCCACCTTGTTGTATTGGAAAACCCTAGAGAGAGCAAGCCAAGCCAGCAGCACAGCCTGAAGTGCCTGGGAGGGAAAAAAGCCCCACAGCCCAAGAGAAAACCATGGATACAGTGTGGTGACCATCACCAGCACCACAGCATGGCCCCACAGCCACAGCAACTCCCACCAGCCCTGACAGCACGCGAGGGGAATGTGCCATTCCTCCTTGTCAGATGGAAAGCAAAGCAACTTATTCAGGGTCTGAGGAGGGGGGGAAATGCTGAGTTTCAGCAGTTCATAAGTAATTTTAGCAGCTCTGCCAGCACCTCTGCTTATCTGGGCCTTGCAGGGTGAGGCAATGCATTATCAGCACATCACACTGCCAGTGGGGTTTGCCGAGGGCTGAGCTGGCACATCCCCTGTGGAAGTTGCCTTCTAAGGACTGGGGATTTGCATGCCATGTTTTCAGAGGGCTCCGAGATTTCAGCCCTTTGAAGAGCACTTTGCAGTGATTCGGTTTTGACTAAATTCTTGTCTTAAAAATAAGTCCATTCTCCCACCTCCCACACTGCTGGGGAGCAGGAGTCACTGCCTGGCCACGCACGGGTTTGAGCTCATCCTGTTGCAAGTTGCTGCAGAAATTGCTGAGGATTTTAGGGCACTTTTAGGACTGAGAGCTGCACGGCTGAATGCAAGTCAACCAAATCCACTCTGCTGTTACCATCATTTTTATTGCTCTTGTTTCTGCAGAGGGATCAACAGTCTATTCCATATCCCAGTTAACTGCAGCTTCTGCAGCTCATTCTCAGATGCAGCAGTCATGAATTCCCCCTTTTACACAGAAAAAGCAGCAGCAATCAACCAAGTAGCAAAAGCATGTGAGCTGCAAGTTGGTAGCAGACATTGCTCTGCCTAAACTACTGCCTTTCAAGTAAAACTACTGTGCAGCAGTCAGTGTTTTCTTACTGTTATCATCATATTATGCTCTGGTATTCAATTATCTGTGTATTTTTCAGGCTCTGCATGAATCCTGGATTTCTGTGAGTAGATGGAATTGAAATTGAAGGATACCATCCAAATAGGTAAACACGTCAGAAACATTATCTGGGTCACATTTGGGCACCAGGGTTCGCTCTGTTTTAAGTGCAAATGGGTTAGTGATGATTTAGATGAACTTCCTGAGGAGTGTTTGAAATTCCTGGCACACATTTGGTATCCCATCTGCTGGAAGGTCTTTGATGAGCCCACAGAGAGACATTGGACTGGAGCTGCTGCTCTTCATCTCTGGTTGGACTTCTTGTGATTGACCAGTTTGCATTTTTTGCATTTGTATTACTTAGATTCCCAAGGAGAGAAAGGGCTTGCAAGGGACTGTGTCACAAGCTGCTGGGGTAGAGATGTTCTGTGAACTCTCCATCCGTGTGCTGTCATCAACTTGTTCCAACACTGCCAGCTCTTTATGTCTGCTGAAACTATTATGTAGAGTCAAATTTTGCCCTTGTTTAGGCCAGCTCTAACAGTAATTAAGTAATTTGTTCTGTCAGAGGGAACTTGAGGCTAGCTTGGGTTACAGATACTAAAAACTTTCTGCCTTCTCCTGAAGTGTCCCATGTTTAGCACATAATAAATGGTGTCTTCTTCTCTTTTGTGCCCTTCTTCACTTGTTAAAAATTATCTTTTAAGGAATTGTGTTGTAACTTACCAAAACACACTGCCTAGTAGGGTTGAAGTCAAACTGAATATTTTCCATTTTTTAAAGCAGAAGAGAGCTATGGTAGGAGGGCAGGGGGACTGCGATTGGAAAGGAATCTTTTTTAGAAATGGAACCAGGAGTCCTATTGACAGAGCCCGAAGTACTTTTTCTTTGTGCATAGAAGTAACAGGAGCTTGTGTGTCTTTGCAATGCCTCTCAAGAAATCCCCCTTGCAGGAGAAGGAGAAGATTCCCATAAGTTCCAGCCCCTGGGCAGAGCTGCAGCACAGCTCCAGGGAGACTCAGCAGCTGGGGGAGATGAGGTTCAGGGGGCAAAGCTGCTCTTCCAGCATGGAAAAAATAACAAAGCAAATATTCTCTATTCCCCATCTCCTGCTCTACAATCTCATCACTTTGCATTAGTGCCCAGTCTTTTCAACTCAATATCCTGCCTCTGGACACCTCCTGAGACATGCCACAATCTGAATATGCTGAGCAGTGCTTCTGCCCAAGAGCTGCCTCCCAAGCCACAGCCTGTTGCAGAGCTGATAGCCCTGGCCAGGGTGAAAGGAAGGCTCAGATGTGATGATGCTGTTCTACAAGCAGGTGAGCACAGGACACAGATACAAAACCACAGTAAATGGTTGCTGAGACCTCACCCCCAAGCTAATAGTTTCTGCCTCTGGTGGGAATGTCTGCATTTTCTTCCACTGAGTGCCTTTTGACATATTAAAGGCATGGCAGGAACTGAGATCCCGGGGGATCCATTGGTCTTATTTCTGTGGATGCTTGTACCCTGGGTCTATTTGAAGAAGGATGATTCATTCAACTGCTTGAGCTTATGGGTCTGTGTGTCACTTCCCACTGCAAGAAGAAGGGTCTTCTTTGCTATCATGGACTGGTTGGGGCTAATTTTGGGATAGACCTAGCATGGAAAAAATGCTTTACGCAGCAAGACAGCAGCTGATTCAGTTTCTTCCACGCTGGATGCTGGTGTTTAGAGTCTCCAAGGCAGGAAGTTTTATCAAGCAACATCAAACAGATGTTCCTCATCGTGTTCCAGCTGCATTGACTGGCAACCTGCTCAGTCAAACACTCGAGGGGGACACAGGCGTTCATTCTGCATGGACAGCAGTTTATTTAACAATCCACCTGGAAGCAGCAAAGGATCTTTTAAAGGAAATATCTGTACCAGTGTTCATTGTAAATGCACCAGAAGCTCTTGTAGTCACAGCAGTCACAAGAACCGTTTCCAGGATGGGGTCTGAGTTATCCTCCAGATAACTCAGGGGGATAAATCCTCCTGATTTTGCACGAAAAGTGAAGAAATTTTTCTCTGGATTTTCACACCTGCTGGTCATGGTATGAATCCACATTGGCAACAACATCTTTTGATGGGGTGCACGGTGAACTATGGCAATGCAGGATACAGCTAAGCATTCTGGTTTGGGATGGCTGAAAGGAGAATGGATCAGTATCAAAATCCCAGGGTTTTCCATTGTTGAGCCAAAGAAAAGGCCCCTCTTCGTGGCCAGGAACTCCAGCAGATGTCTCTGAACCTTCCAGATGCAAAGATGTGTGTTGTTCCCAGAGGGAACATCTTCACAGGGATGTTGCAGGAACTGAAGAGATTAGGAGAGATTTGGATAGTGGGGCAATATCAGACATCAGTGGGTGTCAGCTCAGGTGATTGCTTCAGGGCTCTGCCCTGCCTGGATCCCAAAGCAGGGTAATAAGCCAGCCCTGCTTGCTGGTTCCCTTGGCTGGCACAAGCACAGCTGTGCTGCTTTGCATGCAGGGTGTGCATTAGGGGCTGTGTGATGGTCCTGGAGGTCTGCACTCTGCAGCTCCAAGGCATGCCTAGAGGACTTGCCATCAAGTGCTGCACAGGCAGGACAACAGCTCTTTGCAGGCTGAGTGAAGGCAGTCTGGAATTTCCTCCAGAAACCTTCACGGCTCACCAGCACTGAGTCTGGAGCCAAGGTGGAAAGTGCTGGGGAAGCTTTCTTTGGACATCTACTTATCCAGAAAGACTGGAGTTTTGGGTCCAGTGGAGAGTAACTGACATGGAGCTAAAGGGAACATCTCCATCCACAGTGTGGGAAGGTGAGAGGTCTTCTGGCAGCTGGAATGTGCCCAATATGATGTGCTTCAACTACTTTGAGAGTTGTGGCCACTTTGAGAGAGGTGCAGGTGGAACTGGAGCACAGGACCCTGCAAAGTGCCACTGCTGGAACCCCACCTCAGCCCCCCACTATAGCTGGAACTGCACACCAGCCCCCCAGCTACAGCATGCCTGGGCTGATTGCTTCAAATCACTCAGCTGAAAAGTGATAAGGTCCTTAAAAAAAAAAAAAATTGAATCCAGGGTAGCACTTGGGTTTAGGCATGTCCTTGGGCTGCTGGAGTCCACACAGTCCATAGTCCTACATCCAGCACAGCCTGGCAGGCTGCAGTCACAGCTGGACACATCAATGACCCACATGCCACAATGAATTTGCTGCAGTATAAATCAGCTGTCATTGTTCCTGGCTTATCAATGGGAAGGAAAACACTGGAGTGCAACAACTCCATGAAAGTTTAAGTCTTGGAGTCTCATAATTGGTAGAAGCATGGGTTGCAGAGGGGATTGCACGATAAGAAGGCTTTCCCACTTCTCCTAAAATTTTGACAGTTTCCAGAAGCTGGCAGCAGAGTTTCAACCCTAAAAGATGAACCAGCTGAAGAAGAAGAAATATGACTCTGGTGGACACTACAGATCATTTCCAGAGGCAGGATCACAAGAGTTGACTCTGAATTCAGGGATGTGCATGCAAGCAGGGCCAAGACAGCTTTCAGCCACTCCTTCACTTCCCCCTGAAGATCCCTAAGGAAATGTTATCCCACAGTTGGGGTCCAGCACGGACATAATGTAGGTTTGATAGGGCAGGCAGCCATCAGTGGTGTTATCTCCCTTCTGCACAGAGGCCCCTTCCAGCGCGAGGCTTTCACTTGGCACACAGCGCTGAACTCGGGATGTGAAAAGAGCAGAGTGTGTGGGAGCTGCTGATTGTGTCTCCTTGGTGGGACTGTTTTTTTTAATAAAAGTATCAGATGTTGCGCTTCCTTGAAAACATGACAGTCTATGGGAGAGTTCATTAGTTTATGGCAAGTTGCAACACTGTGGAGCCTGGCTGAAAGCAAATGTTATTGCAAAGAGTTATCACTAAGGGGAGAGGAAAACAATGTCCTGAGGAAATAAACTCGACAGAGCAAATCACAGAGCAATATAAAGCTGCGGAGTACAGGCAGTAGAGCGGAATTCTTTCTCAGAATAAAAGGCCCCAGTCACCTGTTTTTAATGCCAGTGTTTGCTTTCTGCATATTCAGTGAATATGTGGGATACATCTGTGCAGAACTATGTCTCTAATGGGAGTAACAAGTATCATGATTGCAGCTGGCTGAACTTATTTACTACTAGTACACAAAAATGCCTTTGGGGCCATCATTAAACAGTGATAACACCAGTAAAATACTGGTAAACATCAGTTTTGTGTTGGTTGTTGGGGGTTTTTGGTTAGAAAATGGTGTGTTTTAATTTCAAGTTGTACCGAATATTTCAGAAAGTATTTCTTTCCTCAAAGCCCCCTATTAAAATACAGAGTGAAGCTTTACTGTTGGTCAGCTATACCAATGACTAGCCTGTCTCAAGTCTGAGCAAAGCTGGAGGTGCCAGGGGAGAGGAAATACCAGTTTTCATTCATCTCACATAGCTGTACACTGCCACTCTTCTTGACCTTCAGTTAATCTAATTCACACCAAGGACTGAAACCATAGCATCAGATTTGGAAGTGTGTAAAGGTGAATTGAAAATAAGCCTTCACTTTCCTTGCTGAGTCTCATGGCCCTTACAACATTGCAGAACACTCCAGTTCTGCATCGTCAGGGTTTTTCTTGTGTCTTCCATTTTTATATCCTAACTGGAGAATTTGCTGCAGCTTTGTTCTTATTTAGCCTCATGGTAGGATGCACAAGTTTCTCCTTCAGGCAGTGGGATCCTGTGCCTGCTCCACCCAGAGCTACCTACACTGAGCCAGTGTGGGGCTCTGGTAGCCCCTCGGAGCTTTTTGAGGGTGGTAATTTCTTCCTTTATTTTAGCTGTATTAAATCAATATGACACAGACTGTCATAACCAGCCCTGTGTCCTGGGGTGGGCAGTGCCCACCTTCACATGCTGCTTGGCCTGGGAGGAGAGGTTTGCTCTGCTGCTCTGGCTTGTCCTTGGACAAATTCTGCAAATGCCTGTGAAATGGAGGGTGACTCTTCCTTTGTCTTTTTCCTTCCCTCATCCTCCCACTGTTTGACCTAGTGTTCCTGAATTTTGCATGCATTGGTGTTGGGCTGCAATCCCAACAGAGCCCCTGCCTGGGCTGGCATTTTGGTGGCACTACAACCTCTGGTTTTAGCTCTGGTGACCTCAGAAATAAGAGGCCAACTTCTTGAACAAGCTGCCTGAGGAGCCTGGGATAGGTCAGAGATTTCTTGGGCAGATCAAAAGCCAGAGATGCTTTTCTGACAGCCCTGGAGCTCCCTGTCCTGATTTATGAATTCTATACACTCTATATATTTAGCTAAAGAGGCTCACTGGGGGAACAGTTTTTGCAGGCAGGAAAGAGAATGTGACATCACAAAGCCACCATCTATCAGGAGATAACCCCTCAAAAGCACTCTCTGTAGAGCCATCAACCATGGCAAAGGGAGCCCAGGAGACTTGGCAAAAAAAGTCAGAATATTTCAGTGGACCAGCATTTTTAACAGGAGACCTAATTTTGGGGAAGCAGACTCCAACCCCAGGAACTGGGAGCTCTGGACTTGGGGTAGCAGACCTGCAACCTCACCTAATTTCAAAAATCTTCTTTCTCTCTCATTGGAACCTCACCAGAGCCCAAGGGTATAGCTTGTCTCCCTTGGTAAGTGCTACGTGCCTTGGCAGATTTGGAGTTTCATATCCTCTTTTGGAGGCTGGATGGACAAAGGCTCTGCCAGGCTCCTGGGGCTCTTCACAGCCCTGAGAGCTGCTGTCACACCAGTGACACTTAGCTCGTGTTCTTGAGGCAGTCTCCACAGGTTAGAGAGCTGTGATGCTTTGCTGTCCCCTCTGTGAGATGAGACTGAGCTCAGCCCCATGCCTGTTTGGATGTGAGCCCTGTTCCTGACAGATGGAGCACAAGGGATAATTTCCCAATATTTATAGAAAACAGGGCAGGAAAAATCCTAATTCCTACTTTTAAGGCCAGAGTGTTTCCATGTGCACAATACAGTAATCCTGATATCAAATCTGCAGTTTCTGTAAAGATTATAGACTTCCAAGCAGGTAATCATTGCAATCTTGAAGCGTTTGAGCAACAAACACCCACCACATCCCAATCCTGAGTAACTACCTGCTGGAACAACTTTACTGTGTGTGCCCCATTTTAGCTTCCAGTGTGCACATCTTGTTTTATCTCTGTTCCACAGAAGAGGTAGCCCTCTGCCAGAAAAGGTTTTCCCAGGACCTGGCTGTAGATGGCCAGCTCACCTCCCAGCTCTCTCCTGGCCAACCCAAAGACCCTGAAAGCCTCCAGCTCCACCTCCCTGTATGACAGTTTTCCAATTCTGAATTATCCTCCTATTTTTTTTGTCCTGGTCCAG